GGCGGGGGTCAGGTGGTGGCAGGGGCGTCCCCGGCACCCGCAGCTCTGACTGCCGTGTATTTCCGGTCATTTCCGCCTGTGGTCTGCTCTGGGAGGGCAGAGGAGCTGGGTGCTGGCGGCCTTGGCCCAGTAGTGTGCGGGGTGGGGCTGGGGGAGGGACCGAGCCCGGGCGGCCATCACTGTAAGAACCAGTGAGGGTCAGACAGGAGCCTGTCCTGAAGGCGGCCGTGGCGGCCACAGTAACCGAACCCCGATCCCGAAGGGGCGCCTTGGGGGCCAGCCCAGCAGGTGGGGTGGCCCACGCGGTCCAGGTTGGGCAGGCAGGCGTACTGGATCATGGGCGGCGGCCCGCACATCAGTATCAGCGGCTCCTCCTCCGGCGGCGGGAGGTGGTCCCGGATCATCTCCTCGTTCACGAAGCCCTCGCTGTAGTCCCAAACTGCGGGGGGGGGGGGGGTAGGGGGGGTAGAGACTAGGTGAACCCAAGCACGGCCCCCCTGCCCAGCACCCCTCCCACGGCGGATGAGGTCCTGGCCCGAGAATGCTTCCCTTCTCCTGACAAACACTGAAGAGTGAAGAGGCTGATCCAAGCCACCCTCGCGCTGATGCCCGCCCAGCCTGGCCTGCCCACAGCACAACGCAAGCCCTCTGGGTCTCCAGTTCACAAAGCCTTTCACTTCCATTTGGCCCTCAGAACCACCGGTGGGTGGACAGCGAGAGGGCTAAGGATCCCATTTTACAGACGGGGAAACTGAGGCCCAGAGGACCCAGAATTGAGTTGCCCAAGGTCACACACGGAGGCATGCGCTCGGCTAGGATGTAGACTCCAGGTCCCAGGGGTCTGTCCCCAAGCCAGTGTCCAGCTCCAGGCTGGTCAAGGTGACAGTCTCTACCAACACTTCCTCCACGGGCCCCATCTGACTTGCCGCCACCAGGGTGCCGGCCCATGCGCTGTGTTCCCAGTGCCCAGACAGCCCGCACATAGTACTTGCTCAATTAACAATGAAGGAAGGAATGTGTCCTAAACCAGCAGTGAATGAGCCTGGAAATAGCAAGACCCAGACGCAGCGGCCCCGGCCCCACAGCGGTCTTGGCCCTGCCCGCACCCCATCTCGCACACAGTGTATCTCCAGGTTTGCCTGAGGTCTGGAACCTCCCTTCATTCCTCCGGGTGACTGACGTGCTCTTGGTGAAAACCTGGCACCTAGGCTGGCAAGGGCTCTAGTCTAACCGGACCCTCAGGGGCTGGCCCGCTGTAGGGGCTGCTCAGAGGGGTGCAGTGGACCAATGGGGACCGAAGGCTGGCAGAAGTCTGATGGGAGGGTGGGGCTCTGACCGCTGGGCACCGCCAGGGGCAGAACAGAGGAAGAGGAGCCGCCCACCTCTCTGGCTCTGGCTTCCCACCTGCTGGGCATCGACCCCTCTGTGCCTCAGTGTCCACGTGTCCTCACAGTGCCATCCTGCCTACCGCACGGGGCCATGAGGTCCAGGGGGGAGGGGGTCTCCCACCTTTCAAACGTGCAGCCTAACCATTGCCTCCTCTTTCAGACGAGGGAGGAGGGGCCCGGTGTGAAGCTCACCAGGCTCGGGCGGCACACACTCCTTAGGGACTGAGGGCTCTCACATGACCCCTGTGCCGAGCAGCTCAGCCCGAGACAGACAAATGGCTGCCTCCCCTCCAAGGAGCCCCACTGGCCACCTCCTGATCCCACCGTGAGTGCCCAAGCCCAGGCCGGCCCGTGCGCTCTGGCCAGTGGGTGGGGTGGTCACCCAGGCAGATCCTCTAGCTGGGCTCTGGGGGGAGGGGCGCAGGGGCAGCGGGGATGGTGGGAGAGGCAGCAGGCAGAGGGAGGAGGGCAGCAGATGGGAGGGGGGAGGAGACGGAGGGACGCTGGCTCAGAGGGCCCAGTGCTCCACCAGGGCTGGCAGAGGCTGGGGACGGCTCTGCTCCGAGTCCCTCCACCCTGAACCCCGATTACCTGGCTGGTCTCTGTTTTCAGGCTGGAAAAGCCTCGCTAAAGCCCTGGACACCAACGGAAACAGCTCTGGAAGCCAAGGGCAGGCGCAGGAGACCGAGGGCCTGGCTGGATGGACACTCACAGCACCACTCTACGGGGTCCCGTGCCAGGGGCCACAGTCCCAGCTCGCCTTGGCGATGGGGTGCTGAGCAATGGAGCATTCTCTATCGTATGGGCACTGACCACATCCCCCTTTCCCTTTGGCTGCTGGGAAGCTCAGGAGCTGCAGCAAGTGTGCATCCCAGTCCATGGTTTTGTACAAACCTCGTTCCTGATTCTATATCACGCCCTGCCCTTGTCTTCCTCACCCACTCTCTGTCTGTACCCCTCTGACTCACGCTGGGAGTCTTCTTAAGCTGCCTAACAGCCCTTCTGGAATGAGTCAGGGCACAGACACGTGACATTTTTATAGCTGGGAACGTATCTGAAAGGACCTCGTAAAAAACCGGATGGAACGGAACCGTATTTGCTCACGGAAGGAATGTGCAGGCCTATGGCACACCTCCATCTCTACAGGCTGTGCTTTTCTCCACGCGTGCACGGAGGTGGCTTACGGGGGAGCATGTCCGCTGCATCTGCCACCTGGGCTGGCCCCGCTCCTGCCCCCGCTGAGCTCAGGATGGCTGTGCTGCTCAGCTGCCATTTCTTCCTCAGCATCTACAAGTCCAGCTTATGCTAACGTTATAGCCACACCTTAATGCTCTCCAAACGGGGGTCAGGGAAGCGCTAAGCATAAATGTAAACGAGAGGAGAAAGCCCACGGCACCTCCCTGGGCCCGCATCTGGTCCTGTTCAACAGTCCCTGGGAGGCGGCATTTGGTCTTGGCGTTGCGTGTGCCACCAGCAGGGGTCAGTGTCGGCCCCTCCTGCAGTGGACGGGCCGTCCATTGGCAACAGCAAGGCGGTTCCCGTGGTGGCTAGGGAGCCTCCCCTACCACTCTAGAACCTGCACCGGAACAAGCTACCTACCCCTCACTCCCCCCCTTTGGTTGAGACCTGGGTGCAAGAGAAAGGTTCCTTTCTTTGCTAGAAGAGCAGCTCCGACTCGCAGAACCAGTGCGCCCCTCCCCACCCCCACCCCCGGCCTTCACTCAAGGCCTTGCCCGACCAACGGTGCTGTCTTCCCCGGTCTCACTGGCCACCTGCTACCATGCTCTGTGATTTACCAATAAACCTGCTTCCTTCACCCACTGGAACATCAGCCCCGGGCCAGGCTGGCTTCATGAGCACACACAGCGGGGGACCGACCGGGAGGGAACCTGTCACCCAGGTGAGCTGGCCCAGGATGGCCGGTCCAGCCAGAGGCCTCGGGACACAGCTGTCAGGTCCGGAGTCCATCCAGCCCGGGTCTGGCTCTCGGCCAGGAGGCCAGGACCCGATTTGGTCGCCCAGGAGGGAGGCTCCTCTCCCGGGATGGGCCCAGCCCAGAGCCCATCTGCTCATTTCTGGGAGGAACAGAGAGCAGTGTGTGCCCCACAACATGGTTGAGTCCCAGTGAACTATGGGGCTGGGTGAGAAGCTGGAGGCCAAGCAAGGGGGGCTGGCAGAACCGAATGAGATCAGAAGCTGGCGCCTACATGGCTACTTAGAAAATGTTATTTCTAACATTTGAAATTTCCCATGAAAATGCAGGTCCAGCTCCCTTAACGAGTGGAGAGGCCTGGTCTGCAGGCGGAATTCCTGCGTGGCTGATTGACATGCAGCTGAGGGGGCAGATGCTCTCCAATTCGCCCCACTCCCCACCACTCCCTATTGCCTCTAACCCCGAAGCAAGCATCACCGCTATTATCTACCAAGAAGCCTGACCTGCTGCTTTTCCCACAGCAACGAGGATAATTTTTTGCATCTGCATCTACCTAAGGCAGGAGATGAAGTCGTTTAGCTCCCAGGCCGGCCGCTTTTCCCACAGCAACGAAGATAATTTGCATCCGTGTCTACCTAAGGCAGGAGATGAAGTCGTTTAGCTCCCAGAGGGAGCTTGTTCAACCTTATTCAAGGTGGGGGGCAGCCCTCACTCACTGTCTCCTACATGGCTTTGGCTCCTCCACAATCAGCTGTGTGACCTTGCAAACAGCTTAAACACCTGGACAGGCAGGGGTGACCGTCCGTCAGTCTAGCCCACCCCCGGGCTGATGACTGGAGAGAAAAATAGGCCTAACAGGGTACAAACCACAGCGTGGGAGCATTCAGGCCCCAGCTCGGCCCCTGGAGACCTGCCCCAGGGGAAGGCCAGCCTCCTTCGTCCAGCAGGGGGCAGTGCAGCCAGGGCTCGGGAGGAGCCTGTGAGTTCAAGCCCGTCCCTGATGTTTTCCAGCTGTGTGTGTGGGGGGGGGGGGGGGGGGGGGGA